CAGAGCATAGGAAAGGGGTGGGGGCAGGCTTCACCTATAGGGGTTGAATTGTGTCTCCCCAAAAAAATATATTACAGCCCTAATCCCCTGGTACCTCAGAATGTTATCTAATTTGGAGACGGGTCTTTACGAAGGTAATCAAGTTACAATGAGGTCCTTAGAATGGGTCCTGATCCAGTATGATTGGTATCTTTACAAAAAGGGGAAATTTAGACACAGACACATTCGGAGGGAAGATGCTAAGAAGACACCGGGGAAACACAGCCATTGATAAGCTAAGGAAGGAGGTCTGGGACAGATCCCTAACCCTCATAGCACTCGAAAGAAACTAACCCTGTGATTTCAGACTTTCAGCTTCCAGTACTATGAGACAATGAATGCCTGCTGCTTAAGTTTGTGGTACTTTGTTACAGCAGCCCTGAGCAAACTAATACCGGGAACATCCCCAGTTGCTTACTAAGAGCTGTCTGGATGCTATTTTGAAAGGGTTTCTATAGCAACACAAGACTAGCAGGAAAGAGACCCATGATCAACTGGTAAGGTCTTCCATGAATGTGAGGTTGGGACAGTATTAAATTTAGAGTCCACTGACCAGATCATATGCATGCAGGCTCAAGCACATTGTGACTGTGTGAGGGCACCAGGGGTCCCACAAACTTCTGAACAGGTGAACTGATGGGCAGGGCTGCCAGGAGTCCCTACCTGAGGGCTTTGCTGAAGGATGAGGGAGGGGAATAGATGGCACCTGCCTGGATACTGGTCCCCGGCCTGACTGCAGATGAAGCAATCAGTCCCTCTCCAATAATAGAACTCTAGCAACTGGCCAAAGGAAGCCAACGTCTCAAACAAAATGACAGCTCCTGAATATTTTACACGATGTCAACTTCCCTTTCAATTAGCCTTGTTGAAATGTGCTGTATTAAGACCACAAGGCCTGCTCTTCACAGCTTTGCTGAGTGTTATGAGATTTCTTCGGCTCTTGCAGAGAATCATAAGGTTCCAAAGCCTTGCTGACTACAAGGTATTTCTCAGAGCAGATCTCAGAGTGCACTAGAGAAATATTGATGAAAGGCCCAGACATGCGGGTGTGGTCGTTGCTTTCAGCAGGTGAGGGCTCTCTTTACTTCCTTCCTGAGGGCAGATTCAACAATAAACCTTTTTTTTTTTTTAATTTAAACTCTGAGGCACTAGTGTGTGGGTGTGTGTGTGTGTTGTGTATCTGTGTATATGTTTGAACATGCTGGGAGCTCCAAGGAACACCATTCCAATCTGGAAGCAAGAGGACACTTTTGCTACAGGTACTAGAGTTCGCGTAGCAAGCTCCCAGCAGTCGTAGTAATGTGAGGTGTCATTGAAGTGATTTCAGAGGCAGTGACCCTCAGAGAGAAACTTGGAGCAGAGTAAACTGAAAGGACAGTTTCCCTATTGTTTATGTAAGCAACACCCCAAAGTAGTGGCTCAAAGCAACAATCAGTTTACTTGCCCATGATGATGCTGGTCAGTAATTTGGGCTGGGCTCAGCTGGGTGGTTCTTCCATTCATCTAAGGTCATGCACGTGGCTGCAGTGAGCTGTCAGGTGGCTGAGGGCCTGGTGACGGAGGGGACACTCAGTCAGGACACTCATCTCTGCTCCACAGGCTTTATCATAAGGTGGTAGAAGAGTCACAGCCAGAGAGAGCAAGCCCAAGTGTGCATGTCCTTTCAGGCCTCTGTTTACATCACACTTGCTAATGTCCCAAGGTCAAGCCCAGAGTCAGTGTGGGAGGGGGCTGCACCAAGGCCTCGTACAGACACCAAGGCATGATTCCTTGGGAGCCTTCAGGTGTAGAGAATCTTCCAGTTTGCTTTTCTGAGAACCTTTGTAAACTGCCCTGAGACTCTCAAAGGTCAAACTGCCGGCAGCTGGAGGTTCTACCTTAGGAGGTAGGCTCAAGAGCTGGCGAGATCTTTGTTATTTTCATTACTATGCTCACGTCTGTACACACAGCAAGTAGGTCTGGGGAAACTAAAATCATTGACCTTGAACCAATCCCTTCATCTCTGAGACTCAGTTTCCCATTTGCAAAACACAACTCATAGGGTTATGGAAAGGGTCACAAGAGCTCCCTAGCTTTTTGTGAAAAGTGCAAAGCTCCACACGGAAACAGATGCTCTTCTACCAGCCAGGAGAGGCTACAAGGGAAACTGTAGACTGGTGCACAGGGGATGGCACAGATATTCAAGGAGAACATAGAGCTCCAGGTGAGTGGGATGTTTAAATAATTTTTAATTTATGAAAAGACCTTTTGATTCCAGATAACATTAACTTAGTCTCTCCCTTCCTTTTTTTCTTTTTCTCTCTCTCTTCTCCCCGCCCCCTCCCCAAGACCAACAAAGAGAAAACAGACTTTGTATGCATCACACATCTGCTTCACCTTTTGTTCTAGCCCTAAACTGTTTCACTTCTCTATCTCATATGCAACTTGTCCTCTCCTGCTTCTAATAGCCTCACTCCAGTTTCCGAGATGTCCCAGCTTATAAGGCTTTGATGGATTGCACTCCAAGTTGATCCCTGCTCACCCATCCATCAAACATTACCAAGTCATTTTTATGTATCTGGCATGGTGCTAGGACTTGGTGACACGAAGATGAATGAGGCCTAGTTTTTATCCTCTAGGAGCTCACAGCCTAGTGATGAGATAGATGCATCAACAGGAAATAGGACTATTACGGTGTGCTATGAAAGAAAAAAGTGCTTTTATTCAACAAACACGTTAACGATCCCTTACTCCGCGCGTGCCTCATGGTGTGAAATACAAAAACGAATGAAACGCCTTTCTATTGCTAAAGAGTGTCTAGTGAAGGGGCTGGACAAGCCAACAAGCACCATTTGGGAACACAGAAGTAGACACGAGGTTCACGTGAGAGCCCAGAGTGCAGGACCTGTCAGGTTGAAGTGGTGGCGAAAGGTTTCCCATAGAATTTATATAAAACCGGAAGTGGGTGCGTGATTGATTTCAGGCAGACAGAACAGCATGAGCAAAGGCAGACTGGCTTGGCAGAGAGTGATGTTTTGGAGAAACCCACAGCAGCTCAGCACGCCTGGGGTGCAAAGTGGGAAGGGGGAGAGTGAAATAGGGAGAGGCAGGCAGGGGCCAGGCCACAGGCACTAGAGGACCACCGCTCAAGTTAACCTGGAAGTGGTCCGACTGATCAGACTTGCATTTTATTTTTTTATTTTTTTAATATATTTTATTGATTTTTTTTTTTTTTTTTTTTTTTACAGAAAGGAAGGGAGAGGGATAGAGAGTTAGAAACATCGATGAGAGAGAAACATCAACCAGCTGGGGATGTGCCCGCAGCCAATGTACATGCCCTTGACCGGAATCGAACCTGGGACCTTTCAGTCCGCAGACCGACACTCTATCCACTGAACCAAACTGGTTTCGGCCAAACTTGCATTTTAGAAAGATCGTTCCAGCAGACGTGGGTAGACTGACATATAGAGGGGCAGACTGGGAGCAGGCCAATGAAACAGGAGACTCGGTAATAATTCACTTCAAATGGGAAACGACGAGAGATTGAATGTAAGTGGTCCTAGTGGGGATAGAGAGAAGGGGGTGGCTTTGGGAGGCATAAAGGAGTATTATGGGAAGAATGATGTCCTCCTCTAAAAAAAAATTCTTATGTTGAAATCCTCACCGACAGTACCTCAGACTGTGGCTGTACTGGAGATAGTCTTTAAGGAAGTCATTAAGTTGAAGATCATTGGAGCGGGCTCCAATGCTATATGACTGCTCTGCTTGTAAGATTTGGACACAGAGACATACAGGAAGAAGACCACGTGACAACACGGGAAAGACGGCTGTCTACCAGCGAAGCAGAGAGGCCTCGGGAGAAACTGACCCTGCAGACACAGTCATCTTGGACTTCCAGCCTCCAGAGCTGTGAGGAAGTAACTTTCTGTTGCCTAAGGTACCCAGTCTGCAGGTCTCTGTTATGGGAGCCAGAGCAAACTAGTACAAGGAGGATGAATCGGGAGACTTGGGGAGCATGGGGATGTAGGGCGAGGGGAAGAGACAGTAGAGAGTGACGACGTAAAGGTGTTGGACTGGGGCACTGTGGCATGTGAGGCAGCTGTTTTCCACACAGGTTAGCCAGTCCAGTTGGTGGAGATTTACTACCTGGTCTTCTTCCTCCAGGGGATGAGTGGGGGGGGGGGGGAGAAACAATACGAAGGGAGCCAGCTTTATGCCTCAAGAATGTCCCCGCTGGAAGTCTGCGTGCTGGGGATGTCACAGATGAGCTGTTCTAACCTAACCCAACAGCAACGGCTCCTGTGCAGGGCACATTCGGTGTCTTCCTGAGTCTCGAGATAGCTGTGAGGGAGCAGGGTAGCCCCCCTGCTCCCCCCACCCATGCACACACCCCCCCCTCCCACTTTCACTGAGGAAAACCAGCTGGGCAATCTCTGTGCCTGAGGCGAGTTCAGTCTTGGGAGACAAACTCAGCATTCCTCGTTTCTGACCCACAGCCTTCCCCAGGTCCCTCAGCACCACCCTCCTCCACGAGAGGCCCCTCATGGGGACCCAACCGGCCTGGGGATGCCAGCCTCCAGCTTCTCGGCAGAGCCCTGACTCCTTGAGTGGTCCCAGTCCTTTCTCACTTGGAGATTAAATCTCCATCCCAGGGTCAGGAGGAGCAGGCCTGTGCCGAATACCAGCCCTGAAGCAGGGGGTCTGGGAAGCTTTGCTGTCTCTCGGGTCAAGGCCTGGAGAGGCAGCTCCGCAGGCCTGGCCTCCTGGCGGCTGGGAGCAGCAGCCTGTGTGCCTGCAGGGGTGTCTGTCTGCACAGCAGCGCTGCTTCCTCATACCTGAGCCTCCACCGCTGCACGCACACTCCCGGCCTGAGCTCATTATTTAAGCCCAGTGCCCGCCCGCTGGCTGCGAGTCACACACAGGAGGGCAGAGGCAGCTGCGTCTCCCGGCGCCAGCACGGGGGAAGGGACTCTCCCAGCGCCATGGCGTCCCTGGGCCAGATCATCTTCTGGAGGTAGTGCACACTTCTCTGTCTCTATGGGTGGAGGGGGCAGGGGTGGGGCTTTGGGGGGTGCTGAGACGGCCAGGCTGCCCCATAGGTCCCCATCCGTATCTGAGCCAGCCCTGGGCTGACAGGAGCCTAGCGGGACAAGAACCTAACTGAACCTGACTTGACAAAACGCCCCAGACACGTGGGGCACCTGTTCAGGGTTGGGTTGGTTTTCTGCCATGAAGAGCTGACACCTGCTGGGGCAGCTCTGGAACGAGGAGTGTGCGTGCCTGACTGGGAGCATCGAGGCTCTCATGGGGGCACCGCGCGGGATGGCACAGATGCTTGGTGGGAAGGAAGAGAATCGATGGCTGATGATGGCTGAGGTATGGGGTGGGGAGGGGGGGGCACTCTGTACATAGCTCCCAGGATAAAGAATAGGGTTGCTTATGCTTTGCCGCTTCTCTGGGTGTGATGTCCCTGCACTGCTGAGGGATTCACACCAACCCTCTTCCACTCCCCGCTCCAGGACGGGGTCCCTGGCCTTCCTGGGGGCTCGCTGGAGAGGCTAGAGCCGGCCCACCCTGGGGCTGGGATGCAGTTAGGGGTGGCGAGCGGGAGAGGAGTGGGCATGTGCAATGCTGCTGTGCAGGCAGAGCTGGGGAGCTGAGGATGGAGAGCCCACAGGGGCTGGAGGAGGAGGATGCCCGGGCCCAGCCTAACTCCCCGAGCCGAAGGATGAAGGAAGCCCCATCCCTCGCTGTGGCTCCGTGCCCCGGCCACCTCTAGTTGCCTCTGTTCCCCTTTCAGGAGGAAAGAGAAGGAAAGGAAAGGAAGGGTTTTCCGGAAACAGTAGGGATTCCATGTCGTCCTAACTCCCGCCGGTGTGTAGGAAGGCCGGTGCTCATTGGTTCAAGGGGTCGTTCGTGTCTTTCCCAGTGAAAAGAAGAAAAGGGAGAGGGGAGAGAAAACCTCAGGTTCACAGAGAAGTCTGGGAAGAGACTGAGAGAGCACTGCTTCCCAGAGGCAGCCTAGAAAATTCTCTCTAAAAACAAAAGGTCGGCTCCCTCACTGTGTCTGCCTGAAGTGGGTGCTGGGGGACTGCATGGCGGGCAGGGCTGGGCCAGCACTCCCCTTTCTGTGCCCTGCAAGGATGGCCCTCATTGGAGAAGCAGCAGGTGTGTGTGGGGAGCGGGGGGAGGGGGGCATTTGGATTCTTCTATCTGCAAGAATGTCCCCAACGGCACCCACGTCAGAGGAGCCAGTGTTGTGCCAGCGCTTCTCTCCCCATGCCCTGGGCTAGATGCCTGACTAGCACAGGAGCCTCCTTCACTCCTCACAACAGCCTGTGAGGATTCATTATCATTCAGAGGGGTTAAGTCATGTGCTCAAGGCCACACAGCCTGTAAGAGGCAGGGCAGCTTTGAAATCCACTCTTCTGAATTCTGAAACCCAAGCTCTGTCCCGGGTGCCCTGCCCACCCCAGCTCCTCCCTCTACACTGTGCCACAGTCTCATAGATATGCACACTCCCCCTTCCACAGGCGGCTCTGTTGTTCCAGGGACAGATATGTGGGCTTTCTAACAACACATTGCAACCAGCCTGACTGGTTTTGCAGGAGGCTTGGGAGACCACTGGGATAGACAGAGGCGCATCCTGTTGGCCTAGGTCAGCTGTTCTGGCTCTACAGTTGCAAAGGCAGAGATAAGCCACAGGCGCAGCAGACCCCTTGTGCAAAGAGGCCCCCAGGAAGAGGGTCCATGGGCAGGCTTGGTGGGAAGCTGGATCAACAAAGCTCGTCCTGAGGAAACCTGGTATCTACCCTTGGCCCTAACAAACCCTCTGTCTTTGCCATAATTTCCTTAATCCATAGCGATTCTTAATGGCGAGGTGATGGTGACCATTGGTGGTGTAGGAGAGCTCATCAGAGGGCCTGCAGGCCCAATGGATCGTTCTCTTAAATAATGACTAGAGAGCTCACGACCTCCAGACCTCATGCTCACATGCATGCCACTTAAGGATGGAATGCTGGAGGGCAGTTTCCACTGTGCCTGACCTCTGTGGTACATTTATGAGCTGCGTGGTCAAAACCATACTCCCCTTTTCATCACGGCTGTCAGAGGGCCCAGCACTCTCCCAGGGAACACGTGTTGAGTAGCTGCTAGGAGTCTCAGGGTGGAAAAGTCATGATCTCTGCTCTGAAGGGGTTACATGCTGGTAAACAACATTAACTGAGCACTTACTATGTGCTTGCCTTGCACTAGATACTAGAGCAAAGATGATTAAGCCGTGGACAAGATTATAGGCTAATGGGGAGAAAGGCTACTAAACAGATTATTCCATAATGTGGTTCATAAATCATGAGACAGTCAGGGCAGGATGAACGTCCCTAACTTGAGGCTTTAAAGAAGGTTTCCTGAGTCAGATGAGGGCTGGGCTAAGTCTTGAAAGATGAGTTAGTGTGATCCAGGGAAAGAAGGGTGGGAAGGACACTATAGGCCAAGGAATGGGACAGAATAGGATAGGGTTAGTTAAAATAATTTGTGCAACTTGCTCAACGGTCAAGTAGTTAAAAGTGGGCAGAACAGAGCTTTGTCAATGATCATACAATACTGCCCAGTGACCCCAGCTCAAAACGGTGCTGGGCCCCAGCTGACCACAATTTACCCAAACAGCAAGGATCCCTAGATCTGAGACCAACGCTCCATCCACATTTACCTGTGACATAAGCAGAAGTGGGGATAATGTGGACACTGGAGTTAGTCTGACCTGGGTTCCTATCCCAGCTCTCCACTTCCTAGCTGGCTGACCTCAGGTAAGCTACTTAACCTGCATCTTCATTCCCTCCGCAGTGAAATGTGGTTCATCACACCTCCCTCCTAGAGTTGCTGTGGAAACCAAATTAGTTAATACATGTAAAGAGTTCAGAGCAGCACCTTGTACCTCATTGGCCTCTATGTGTTAGCTATGCTTATTCAATCGTTCCCTTCCACTGGTTTTACAGAATAACAAAGTGACTTGGTGGGAGGGAGAGGCATGACAAGTCCAACAGGAGCAGCTGGGTTTAAGGGACCTGTGTGTCCAAATTCGGGGATTTCGGTGGACTTCCTAGTCCTTGTTCTGGGACAGAAGGGGAAATCTTTGGCTGACTGAGGTGGCAACCCACTCAAAACTCCACGTGCAGGCTCCTGGCCAGCAGCAGGAGCACCACCTGAGTCTGTTATAAATGCACATTCTCAGGCCCGCCCTCCGGACCCACTGCGTCAGAAACTGAGGGGCACAGTGAAGGGTCGCGGGTCAACTGCATTAGCGTTCTCTTGGGCTCCTTGACTCCTCAGGGGAAGCATAGGATGTAATCCAAGACCATCAGAAAGCACAGATATTTACATTATGATGCATAACAATTATGCAAAATTGCAATTATGAAGTAGCAACGAAAATAATTTTATGGTTGGGGGTCACCACAACATGAGGAGCTGTAATAAAGGGTCGAGGCATTAGGAAGGCTGAGAACCACTGCCATAGAGGGATACATTTCACCCGGGATCAGTCCCCAGTCCACATGTCTCCTTAAGAAATGTCCTTAGGAGAGAAGAGTTGAGCCTTGAGGACAAGGAATAAGCATGGCGCTCCTGCAGGTACAAAACGCAGGTTATGTCTGTCTTTGTAGCGGCGCTCCACAATCCCAAACCACCCGCCTGGGATGTTTCAGATTGACATCCCTTCAGTGCCACAGTGATGGGGGGACAGGCACTCTCCCTCTTCCTTTCTCTGCAGATTTTAAATAGAAATCTTCAGAGAATAAAAACCATGAAAGGTTTCGGAAACACAGGCAGCATCCATAAAATCCAAGGGTCTTAACTTGTCCCTTTTAGCTTCTGATGAACTGCTCATGTACTCTTCTCTGCCACCACCGCCACCCATCCCCCAAATGGCATTCCTCAATGCTCTTCTCTTCCTCCCCTAGCGCAGTCTCAGATGACCATCTTGCTTTACCCTTCACTGAGAAAGCAGGAGCCTGCAGACAGGTGCTCCTTCATCTGTGCACTTCCAAAACCACCTGCTGCCCTCATCTGGGCCCTTTCCTCTGCCTCCCTTCCCGGCTCCAGAGGACAAACCTCACTCCTATCAATGGGTGACCCCTCTGTGTCCTGGTCCACCCGCTTCACTTCCTCCAGCCAGCGTCATCCATCTCTCTTTTGCTACTCTATTATCCCTATCCACAGGCAACCCACGTCAGTGTTTTCTACCTTAAAAGGATAACCCTCTCGCAGCCCCCCAACCTCTCCAGCTCCCTCCCCATCTCTTCCTTCTCAGCAAACTTGCTTGTTGGAAGAGCTGTCTGAGTTCTGATCTTGGTGGGCAGGGTGGAGAGAGGTGATGAGGATCCCAGCATAGTCTGAGGCCAGGCTGCCTGGGTGCAATCTCAGGTCTGCCCCTGGGAAGGCCTGTAGACTTTGGGCCAGCCCTTCATCTGGATGGGCAGATAGAGGTGTCCATCTTTGAGGTAACTGACCCCAGCCAGCTCAGTGAGGTGGCCAGAGGAACATAATTTACCAAAGTCCTGGCTGGGAGGTCACCTGCTCCTTGATGCTATTCTCCCAGCTGCAAAGAGGAGGAGAGGGTACAGTGGGATTTTCCCAGACAGTATTCTGGTACGGACTCAGAGCTTAAGGAGCAACTGGTATGATTTCTTTTTTCACTTGAAGCAGTATAATAATAGCATTTAAGAAAATTTTTAAAAAAGGAAATACTAGTTTTTGGTCCTGGGCCCCCTCATTACTGTACTTTCTTTTTGTTCATGCCCTCTGCTTTTTTTTGTTTGTTTGTTTGTTTGTTTGTTTGTTTGTAATTACTCCAGCCCCTAGTTTCCAAAAGTGTGCCCTGTATATAAATAAGTATTATGTTTAAAAGAATTACATTTTCATAACATTGGGTCAACCACAATCAAATAGATTCCTTTAGCTTCAGGAATCCAACTGCAAATCAGATTTTTTTCAAACCCAACTGCAAATCATTTCACA